AGCAAGGGAAGGGAAAAGACAAAAAAGAGTCTTTACTTTGAGTGCGTTACTTTTCAAAAAATTTACTATTTCACTGTTATAAATGTTAATATAAATATATCCATTCTGTTTTTTAACACAAATTTTCAATTCGATTTCTAAAAAATAATAATAAAAAATATTTTCTCCGTCCATGCAAAAAATATATATTTTTTTTTGGCGTAAAATTTAAAAAATAATAGTATTTTAATTATAATGGGTAGGTAAAAGTAGTATAATGATATTTTTGCCTTACTTTTTGGGTAGAAAAGTAAGATGTGATGTAAAGTATAGATATTTGTGAAAAAAAAAAATTGGATATTTAATGAAATTGTTACTTTGTAATTGAATGTCCTAAAATAAAAATATATATATTTTCTAACTGGACGGAGAGAATACTAAAAAAATATACAAAAATAGAAAAAATTATCAAATGTTCATTACAAAATGTTAAAAAAGTCAAATATTCAACTTAAAATAATATTTCATATTTTATATTTTTAACACAATTTTTAATACTATACACCAAAAATCAATTCACGAAAAAAAAAAAAACCATTATTATTATTTTCATAAAATAAAAACTTAAATAAATATAATTTGGAAAAAAAAAAAAAAAAGTAGAAAGAGAATGCAGTGTTGAATTGGATTTGATTGAAAGAGAAGAAAGTGGCAAGCAGAAGTGTACCGAATGAATCCCTCTCTTGTCTTTTTGTCTAATGACTAATCTACAAATTAAATATTTACATGCATATACATATTCCCTCCATGCCACAAATTTTCGGGACATTATTTATGTAAAATATAATTAATAAATAACTAAAAAATATATTAATAAAAATAATTATTGTTTGATAAAAATAAATATAAATTAAAATTAAAATAATTAAATAGTTTAATTAAAATTAAAAAAAATTATAAATTATGAATTTAAAATATGATTAAAATATATAATATTTTTTTCAGAAAAATAAATGACAAATTATATTATAAGGATAAAATTAGAAAAATAAAACAAATTACATGGGACCGATAAAGTATTATGGCGGAGGTTACAGTACTGAATATAAAATTCAGCACTCTCCTGAATAGCACACCGTGTGCTACGAGACAGCATATGTTGTTGCCATAGTATACTTTAATATAATACAAATACAGCACATAACCTAACAGCATATGATATAATCTCACACAACACATACAATACTTGATACTATAGAAACAACAAATGTTTTTATTTCAAAAAGTACATGCTATATATAATAAAAATATGTGTTGTTTCTATATTTTACCTGTACTGATTTAAAAAATCAGTATGTGTTAATTTTTCAAATTGAATACCGTAATCTTTCCCAACTATTATACATAGAGGGTGTTTGGGAAACAGCGTTTTGAAGAGTTTTTAGCTTATTTAACAGCTTTTAGCTATTTGACCAGTCAAAAAGCTAATTTAGGTGTTTGATAAATTAGTTTTTTAAAAGAGCTTTTTGGACCCAAAAAGCTAATTTCTGAAAAGTTCATCTACCCAACTTTTTGAAAGAGCTTTTTCATTTTAATTTTGATTATTTCTTATTTAACCTTAAAATTTAATTATTTATTTTATATATATAAATATATTTTTATAGCAGTATTTATTAATTATTTTTAATATATTTAATTTAAAATAATTACTATTATTAACTATTACATATAAATTATTTTATTTGTAAAATATATAAATTTTTAAAATTAAATCAAATAGAAAAAATAAAAAATTTTAATTTATTTATATATATTAAAACAATAATTAACATAATAAAAATATATTTACGAAAGATTTATTATTTTATATTTTACATAATTTCAATAAAAATTTATTATTTTATAGTAAAAATAATTCTCTCAGATTTAAATAATAAAAATAAAATAAATATTTTTATAATTTTTAATAATTAATAATAAAAATTCTCATAAATTTCAAACCAAAATGAACAAAATTAAATATTTTAAAGAATAACATATCAATGTCCGTAATAATCATGTTATCTGTAAACCGCTAATGTCAAACAGTTATTTTACCAAACATTTTAATACAAACTGCTAATTAAATCACCTAATTAAACCAGCTAATTGAATCAGCTAACAGCTAAAAATTAGCTGTCAATAGTTAAACGCACCCATACTTGAAATGGGAATCCAAATAAAAATGCTTATTTATTATTATTATTATTATTATTGGATAAGACTAAGACCACTCACTCACTGTCTCAGTACTATTGATTGTGAAATTGCAGCACCTTTCTCTACTTCCTTTAATCACTCGACCTAATTATTTTAATTACAAAATTATCTCAAATTATTTTGGTATGTTGTGATATTTTCGAAAAACTTTTAACAGTAAAAAATTAAAAGTATAATGAAAATAATAATATAGTATAAATAGATATTTGATATTATAATTTGAATATATAATTTTTTGTATTATATATATTCAATAAAAAATAAAAATATATGTACTATAATTTAATATCTTGAGAATAAAAAATTATATTAATGTAAATTGACTCAAAATATTATATCAAATATTTATTACATCTCATAATAAACGACGATTTTTTCATTTTAGTCTATCTTATAATAATAACATTTTTCTAATAAAATTTATTAAATCAAAATATACTTAACAATTATAAATCTAACTTAATTAATTTAATAATATATATAATATTATACATCATGTATAACTCACTCAAAATTCATATATTTCTATCTTCCTTTTTAATAAACAAATACTTGAATTTATATTTAAAACTTCTAATATTTTATAAAATTATTTTATGATAATTATAAAATAATAAATATATTATTTATTTATATTATATTTCACAAAATGATATCAATATTATAAATATTATAATTTTTAAAATATTTAAATATATTTTTTAAATTTCTTTTAATCATATATTAACTCTGTTCACCAAAATCAACTTTTGACGTGTAATTTTCAAAATAATACAAATTATTTTTTATAAAAGTAAAAAAAAAAAAAAAATCAAATACTCATTAAAAAAAAATTAAGAATCAAAAAATCAATTTAAAATAATTAGTATAGTTTTTTTTTTTATTTTTTATGCAATTTTGTTATACCAAACACCAAACATAATCTATTTAAAAATATTGGGTGAACCAAACCACTTAAATTTTTATTTTAAAACTACCGGCAATATCATTCAAATAAAATATATTCCCTCCTTCTCATAACTAGATATCCATTTGCTTTTTGCATATAGTTTTAAAAATATTAGTATTATATTGAGATATAGTAGGAATAAAGTAAAAATGACTAAAATAATATGTGTGATATAAAAATAATGACATTTGTATAATATATTGTAAGTTGTAAGGATATTTGTAATGTTGGTGGATAATACAGTTACTGAAAAAAATGTTATGGAATGGATTAAAATAAAAAATAGATATTTTGTTATGGAACATAGGGAGTATCATAATTCACAAAAGAGTCATTTGATTGTTATTTATATCTAAAATTTTAAATCTTCAAACTCAAATCAAACTTTAAATGAGTGTATATTTGACAAATGTTTTTTTTTTTTTTCTTCGTTTACTATTTGAACTTTGTTTTTTTAATAAATATATATTATTTTTTTTATAAAATATTATATTAAAATTATTTAAACATAAAATTCAAACAAAATAATTTCAAATACAAATCCAAAAAAAAAAAAAGACTTTTGTTTTTGTTTTTTTGGTAATATATATATATATATATATAATTATAATAATTGAATCTGTCCAACTCCATCATCGTATGCATCTTTAGTGGGCATAAGTCGATGAGTAACTTTCCGGACGAATTATTATTATATCATGTATGTATATATATATATATATATATCTAATTGCATAAATAATAATACTAATTATTATTATTATATTATTATTATTATTATGAATTGTTGGAGGGAAACACTTACTTTTATTTCTTTTTGGGTGTGTTTGTTTGGGCCTTTGAATTTTAAGTTGAGATTTGAATAGTAAAAATTTTGAATTTGAATAATGGTATGAGTTGATATAAATTGATGTTGATGTGATATTTTGAATGTAAAATTAATTTTTAATATAATATAAAATATAAAAAATAAGTATTTGATTTAATATTTTTTTTTGAAAAAAAAAATATCATAAATAATGTATTTAAAATCCAATATATGTCCGACACACCTTTGACAATTTTTATCAATCAAACAAAAAAGAAACAGTGTAGCCTATTTGAGCATCTTGATCTTCTTTTTTTTTTTTTTTTTTTAATATATATTAGAGGAATTAATGTTAGGGGGTGTTTGTTTGGAGGTTTGGATTTTGAGTTGGGATTTGAATATTAAAAATTTTGAATTTGAACAGTTGTATGATGTTGATGTGATATTTTGAATGTAAAATTGATTTTTAGTATAATATAAAAAATGAAAATTAGGTGTTTGATTTGATGTTTTTGGGGAAAAAAATTGGATGAATAGTGGAAAAAAAATTCAATCCCTCAATATTTTATTCTTTCACTTTAGACATATTGTTAGAATAGTAAATTAAATGATTACATATACAAATAAATTGATAATAAGATCTCCATGAACAATAACAATTCCTTTATATCTTGATTTTAGATTTTTTTTTTTTTTTTTTTTTTTACTATAACTATTGTGATTCTTTTATAAAAATAATTTTTTTCTTTGATAAGACATTATGTTTCTTTCGCAAAATTTCTCCAAATTTTACTATTTGGACTCTGCATTTCTAAAAAAAAATATATATTTTTTCCTCTCACAAAACATCCCGTCGAATATTATTTTTAAATTAAACTCAAACCAAATTAAAAAAAACACATCTATATTTAAAGTCAAACTCAATATTAAGCCCAACAATTTTAAATAAGAATACTATTTGGGCCCATTAAAGGCCCATTAGGGTTTAACGCATTCGCATTACGTATAAATTTCTCAACGTAAGACTTCGGGGAATCTGTAGCCTCCGCTCCAATTTCGATTCAGCTCTGCCAAGCTTCGTCGGAGAGAATGGTAATGTCTTCATCTCCTTATTCTGTTCTCTGATTGTGAATCGTCGCTTTATTTATTTTTACGGTAATCTATTTCAAACATGTGGATTTAGTTTGTAATCGACCATGAGTTTCTGCCATTAAGTTGCTTATCTCGTAATTAGTTTGGGTGGATTTTGGATTTTGCATGTTTTTATGGTTCATCTAGATGGATTTAACTGCAATTCTGTTATTGAGAATTTGATGGATTTCTGTGTCTTTACCTGTGGTTGATTGAACGACAATGAATAAAAGTTAAGAAGAATTCCTCCTGCAGATGGTATTCTTAAACCCCGATTTGCACTAATACTTGGTGACATGATCGAACCAATCCTGGTTTTGGCACACTGATTGGCAGATTTATATGTTGCAGCGTTCTATTAGTTCTTCCAAGTTCCAATTGATATACTTCTTTTCCCATCCCTTTAGATGTTTGTTATGTGATTTATTCGTTAAGTGTTTCTGAAAATTGTGACCATAACTTGGAGTGTAATCTGGCAGCCGAAGCAAATCCATGAGATTAAGGACTTTCTTCTAACGGCTAGAAGGAAAGATGCGCGATCCGTGAAGATCAAGAGGAGTAAGGATGTGGTAAAGTTCAAGGTTAGGTGCTCAAAGTACCTTTACACACTATGCGTCTTCGATCCGGAAAAAGCTAACAAATTGAAGCAATCACTTCCACCAGGTTAGTTTTAACTTTTCTAACCCTCTTGTTTGATAGTTTTGTAATTGCAATGGGAATGGTTAAGGTGCTGATTAGCCTCAATCAGCCTCACGTAGAGTGTTATTATGTGTTGTTTGTTCTTGTTCTCTTTGTGTGTTGTGTTTGATACAGAGTGTGAGCATTCGGATTTTTCGAAACTATTCTATTTTTTCTTTTTAAATAACTAATTCGAACCAATATAACTGATATTGGAATTGAAAAAAAAAAAAGAAAAAAACCAACAAAGCTAAAAAAATCTGAAATAATTCGATCTTCAAATTTTTGTATTATTTTTAAATATTGTATATTTTTTAAAATTTTATAATATTGAATATATATAATGAATAAAACTAAGTATATTAATATATAATTAATAATGTTGAGTTTTATGTTTATTAAAATGTAGTATTAAATATATAATAATAAAGTATATTTAAATATAATATTTTGAATATTTGATTGGTTTGGATTTTTAGTATACTGTTCCGAAAATCCAAATTTTATAAAATTCAATTTAAATCAATTCAAAAATTTCAAAAAATCCGAACCAAATTTTAAATTTTTGGTTGGTTCGGATTTGATTTTTGGATTTCGAATATCTTGTTCACCCTAATTTAGTATATATTTTGTGTTTAGATCAATTTTAGTATGTAGTGTGTGAAACTATATTATTATTTTATAGTGTAACTTTTTAATTCTACAAATAAAATCCAAATATTTTTGAATAATTTTATATCAATTTAATCATAACAACCCACAATTAATTAACTATAAATATCAATAAAATTAAATATGAAAATAAATATTATATAATTTACTATAAATATCAAAAAAATTGAAACTATAGTTGGAGGTTGCCACAATATTCCTCTTAAAAATTTAACTATAGATGGTGTATTTTTTAAAATAATTTTCTATATATTTAATTACAAATAGGTCGTATTGTTTTGCAAATTTTAACTTTTTAAGATTAATTTATTTTATATATTTATATTTTAAAGTTTTAAATGATATTTACAGTAAGTTCTATATTTATTGATACTGTATTTTAATTTTTATTGATAGTTAATGTTAATTAGTCTATGCAATTATTGTAAAACTAATATATATTTGTTCTAAAATTTTATTTGGATGCTATTTGTAAGTAAAAAGTTCTACTCCTATCATCGATCTCATATATATATATATTTTGTTTGTTTAATTTAAATGTATATAATTTTCTTTTTAGTAACTATAATTATACCACAAATTACAATACATTTATTTATTTACAACCATACCATTACTTTTCCGTAAGACCATAAATCTCTTTACAAAACTAAAACTATAAATTATTATTAAAATACTAATATTTCTTAATTTGTCTTCCAAAAGGAAATGTCCATGTAAAAAGTGGAATCTTTTTCGACTGAAAAGGAAAGGGTTGGATTAGTTGAGCATTTAAAAATAGAGGGTAGAATATAGTTGTAGATGGTTTTAGACATTTCCAACCATATTTTTATCTTTGGAAGAGCGTCACAAATTCACAATATTTATGTTTTTTTTTTTTTTAGGACTAGCTATGGTATTTTATTTTCAACCATAAATTTATAAGGTTATATGGGTTAGAATATATAGATAATATGTTTTTAACAATGCAAAAATGCAAAATATGGATGGAGATGAGTTACTATAGCTGATCCTGCAAAAATAACGAATTTAGAAAATTGTATTATAGCTCCAACAAAAATAAATGGTATGGAAATGGTCTTAGAACATCTCCCTTGATTTTGCAGTGTGCTTTGTTCTTTGGGCAAAATGATTCAAGCACATTGGTTTTAACCCTTCTATAGTATTCATGGGTTGTCTTATTGGACCATTTGCTATCTAGTGTGTTTCTTTTTAGGATTGGAGATTCTAGTTTTTTTTATTAATATAATATTTGCTATGATATTTTGTTGAATGAGAAAATATATTTTTTTTGGGGAGAATGTGAAGTTTAAGTAGTAATAATTTGTGTAGAAACTCAACATGACAAACTATTGTTCAGAATGCACTCGAAAAGAACGTATTTTGGTAGTGTGCCACTTGCCTTAATATGATTTTATATTTAATCGATCTTTTATTTTCCCTGTGTTGGGAGCTGTATTTATGTATTTTACTGATTTATTATGTAGGTTTGGTTAGATATTGAGATTAAGAAATGCTGATATTATAATATTAAAGTGAGATAGGTAAAAAATAATATATGGTATTATAGAAATTTATTTAAAGATTAATGAAAAAATAGTGATAAATTGGTTATTATATTATTTGTTAAAATAAGGATAATAAAATTATTGCCGGATAAAGTTATTTACTTTAAACAGTTTGTATATAAGTTTATCGAATGAATGACTACCAAAAAAATAATGATATAATTTTGACGAATTCGGATGAAATAATATTTGAAATAGTATCTCAGCCATGAATGTGCTTAATTAATGGTCTATTTCAGGTTTGAGTGTTCAAGACCTATGAACTGCTTGCTGCACGTGAAGATGGTACAATGTCGAACACATTTTGATTTATTTGGTAAAACATTAATCCTTGTGGGATTTTAGTCGTATTTTGTAGCCAAAAACCAATTCAAGAATTTTGCAATGGGGTCTTAAATGTCATACTTCATCTTTTTTATTCATTTGCTATATATACATATACATATATTTATTATTTGTCAAAACAGGCTATTTTAGTATTGTAAATATGGTGCTCACAACATATGAAATATAAATAATGGCGTAATTATTAAAGAATTAATTTAAAAAGTGGTAGACACATAAAGTATACTTATCAAATATAAACTTAACACATTGTAAGAATTAATTTTTTTTTTTTTTTTTATGACATAAAAATCCGCATTATTCGAAAGTTATTTTGCAAATTAGGTTCGACAAGATAAGTTACACTAGGCAAACCACCAAATTGTTCAAAACCAGAAGAACATTTCTCCTCTACAAGTACTGCCTAAAATGAATTTGGGAAGCAAAATGATCTGCCACAAAAACTGCCAGCACAAAACAACACACAGTGAATGAATTGTATGAAAGGATTATAGTTTTCTGAGTATTGTTTGATGCATATATTTCTGCTGCTAAAGATCACACTAGTCATTCTTTCCTTCTCTGGTAATTGGCATTGAGTGACATCTCAATTTCTTCAAGAGACCTCCCTTTTGTCTCCACTACAAAAAAGTATGCGAACACGGCTGCTAAGAGGGACACGCCGCCAAATCCGGCGTAAACTGGAGCCACGCCGAATTTCTCTACTAGCTCCAGGAAATACAGCCCCACCAAGAAGTTGAACACCTGAAAATCAATTATTTGATGTGTCATCTGAACAAAGAAATCAATCCTTTTCTTTTCTTTTCTCTTTTTTTTTTTTTTATGCAATATTGTCGTTCTCATAAGAATATGCTCATTTCTTCATATAAAAAATTACATTTAATAATCAAAATCTACAAAGACACAAATATAACACACTTATTATGTCTTTCATCTGTTACATTACAAATAAAACAAACCATCCACATAACAAAAAAAAAACACCAAAGGCTGTATAGTAAAATTTGTATTGGAAAGTTACAAACAAACCAAGCTTTAGGTTGTGTTCTTTTTTTAGTTTTACCACAGATTTTTACTATTCATATTCTTTTTTCCCTCCAAAAATATCACATCAAATAATTACCTTTTTTTTTTATATTATACTACGAATTTATTTCACATTTAAAACATCACGTCAATATATATTTATATCACATCAAACAACTATTCGAATTCAACCTTTTACCATTCAAAAACCCAAACCCAAAATCCCAAACCCACAAACAAACACACCAATGTTTTCTGAAAATGTTTAAAAACTAGAGACAAGTTCTAAACCTTCTTATTTTCACATTTTGCGTCCGCAGTAAAATTATTTATTCTTCTAAAACAAATTAAATGTAATATTTATTTCTAACAAATTTTTTTATTTTAACCATCGCATGCATATTTTCTATTTAAAATATAACATTTTAAAATTTATTTTATAATAAAATAAATAAATTCATGACACCCCAAAACACAAAAAGATCACACATAGTTGGGATAAAGTAAAGCTTTTGTGACATACCCAATGAACACAGAAACTGAAGGCCATGATTTTCCCTCGTGTTCTACTGCTGCTAAGCTCGGGTATTACAAGCCCTGTAACTGGTCCAGCTCCAATAGCAAATGAGAATATGTACCTGTAAATAATCAATTCTTGGTTTATCACCCAAAATTTGGGTTTTGTTTGCGCCCAAAAATCACGTTGGACACTATTAATCTACTTCAAATACATATTCTCTCTCACAAAACATAAGTCATACTAACTTTTACTTTTTCCAAAAATCTCCAAAACTTCAAAATTTACAGAAACAATATCTAATCAGAGCTTTGTTATTGATAGAAAAACAACATCGATTGTTCGGAAAACAATAAAAATAAAGCAGCATAAGCTTCAATATCATGTTTGAACTGAATTTGCATATGTTCTACTAAGGAAGCACAATTGACAATATTTATAGAGCATTGTTTCGTGAGACCATTCAAAGTGTTCGATTTCTATGATGGCAGTTGAGAAAATTGATCCTTGTATGATTTTTCACACTTGCTATTCTAACTGTAGAATTAAAAAAGAAGATGCTAATTTAAGCCTCCCATGATTGAATAGACATAATATTGCCTACCAATTTTACAATGTGTATAAGCATGCTTGTGAATGGTAGACATCGAGTATTTTAACGTACATAATCCACATATGAATACTAACATACATACAAGTGTGCGCATCTATAAACACATTTTGAAATGATGCATGAGATAGTATCAGGAAAAAAACATGGAAGTGGGAATGATTTCTGATACGATAAATGTGCAGCCAAATATAATTCTACAATTATCAGAAAAAATGCCACGAGAAGGAAATACGTACATAGTAGTGCCCAATATTGATAAACCGCTGCTGATATCCGAGTCGATATTAAAGCTAATAGCACTAGCTATAACAATCATAGCCACAGCCTGCAGAAACACAGAAAGATCACATGTTAACCACAAGCCTGAAGATGAAACTGTAAGTACATCAAATAGCCATTTTTCAGGTTTCAACTATCGACAGGAAGCTACAAAATTTTAAAATGAGTATACATAGTTCACAGAATGGTCATATTATAAACATTTAAATCCATTTTCAGTACAATACAAACTTCATATCCTTGCCGCATTTCTCGCTCGTACAGTTTACTCACCATTCCCAGGTAACTTCCAATCAAAAGCACCTGTCTCCCTTGTTTGTCCATCAAGTATGACGCACAAAGCGCCCCTGAAAATATCAGCTGCTGTAAGAAAAAACTGAAGACACCAAGTACGAATACACACAATTTTTTAAATAGTTTCAATACCTGCAAGGTTGGTGAATCCAACAAATAAGCTTGCTAAAGCACTACTGCTGATCCCAACATCTTTAAAAGTTAAGGATGAAAAGTAGAGAACGCCATTTATACCAGCAAACTGCTGTAATACGAATAGAGCTCCGCCGATTAATGCAACTGCAACAACCGACACCACAAAAAAGATTCAACCCTTCCAGCATATAAGCCATAGGCTAAAGACACTACAATAAAATAGTGAAACCAACGGAACACTTTAGTCCAGTAGCAAGATCATGAAAAACTGCAATGAATGAGCCAAAAATTTTCATGCCCACATGCAAGCTAGATTTTTGAAGGTGTTGTTATGAAATTATGATATATTTAATGGAAACATGATAACTAAAATATTGTGGAGAGAGAAAAACAAAAAATAAAAATAAAAGTGTAATTGAATACTATATACAGGAACTTAAATTACCTTTAATCGAATACAACAAACTAGTCATATGTAAAAGAAGCATCATAAAATTAATGAACCACAGCATATGCAATCAAATGCAGAAAGTGCAAGCATTTTTCGAATAATAAATGAAAAAATACACCTTGGTACCACCTCTAGAATGAGGTTCCTCCAGGAGTTCCAGCCAACTGCTATCTAAATCAGCACCGTCATTTCTGATAACAGACTGGAATTCTTCAACAGCTGTGTCAACTTCAGATGTCCCCCACAGGTTGCTTATGACTTCTTTAGCATCATCAATTCTTCCTGCCTAGAAAATTACCCAACAGATACAAAAATGTGAACAGTAGAGAGCAAAGCAGTGTTTGTATGCCGCAAAGGGACTTGTATCATACTTTGCAAAGCCAGCGAGGGCTGTCAACTGCAAACTGCATGCCGAGAGCAATAACAAACCCTGGAGTGCTTGCTATATACAGCATTGTCCTCCACCTGACAATCAGGATACAATTTTCAGCTTTGATAATAATATAGTCATGATGCCGCTTTCATATCTTGAATGATTTAGAATTTGGAAGGAGAAACATTATGAGGATGAATGGGATTCTATATATATATATATAGAAAATTATAATTTTGACCAGGAAATAAGTAGAAACAACACTAAAAAGTTAAAAATGAGCAGTACCATGTCAAAAGATGAAGTGACATACTTCATCCATGCAGTAATTTTTATTATGGTAAAGCACATTAAGGAAACACTTGGACACAGTATACAGAAAATCAAATAATCAAATTTTTTTTAAGAATTACAAAATCACAAATATTGGTTAAGAAACATGACTTGATCTGCCTAAATATTACTGTACCGATTCGAGTAATAAATTATTCAATCCTTCAAGCATTTGTCTGCAGATGTAGAATGCTATTGTCTTTTTGTTTTTTATCTCATAAATTTTCAATATTTGAAATTCTGCTGATCTTTGTAACCATCACATCTGAAAACACACAAATATCAAACATAGTCAACTTTCTGAATAATGTGTCTTCTTCGCAACCCACGTCCCATATTTACAATGTCATTTATCAGTTAATTATGGAATTGGATACATGTATAAACCAACTGTTCAATGCATGCAAACCATAAATTACCAGGAATATTAACTTGACAACCATAATAGCAGAAATTGGATAAAAAACAAATGTAAATTAACTGAAAGGTGAAAAATGCAGCATCCTTCTGAGGACTAACATATAAAATGGGCATTTGCTTTTGTTTTCTTGTTTTTTGTTGTTAGGGTGTTTGGAAAACAATAAAACATTAAATTAAAATAATTATTTGATGTGACGACATAAATAGGTTTTTTATGCTAGGTATTGAATGAAAAATAATTTTTGGACTTAATATATTATATATAATATTTTGTAGAAAGAAAAAAGAAATAAATTACTAAGATGAATAGTAAAAACAAGTTATTGGAAACACAACCAAACAACCAACATCTCTAGCACTCCAATAACATCACAATTCATAATGAACTTATTATAAACAAGGAACCAGTTGCAATTAAGAAACAATAGTTTACCAAGGCTGTATTTACTTGTGTTTCCATTTCCATTCTCACACTATTCAATCTACCATTTTTATTTTTTTTTTTGTTTCCAGAAACATCACATCCAATCTCAAAATGATCAAACCCCAAAGCATCAAAACAAAACCTAATCGCAAGTAAATTTAGCATATCCCCTTCACAAGTAAAAGCTTAAACTACTAGGGGTGCAGATTATTTTTAAATTTTACACATCATTTACATACAAAAAGGAATTTTTAAAAAAAAATCTATATGCAAAGGCATGGACATAAATCAAATGTTCATGAATGGGTGATGGTTGAGGATATAGACAAGGGACATCCTGATTTGATAATATGCTGCATGAGCATGTTACTTGAAAGTTTAAAGTTGATACTTGCAAGAGACAGGCAGACTTATTTTTTGTATTTAATTATTTTATCTTTTACGAAAGATTAAGTCCCCCTAAAATGCAAGTAGACAAATGTCATATATAAAAGCATCATATCCTCTGGTTGATAAAAAAACATATACATAAATATAGGCAGGAGAACTTACCAATGGGGATCATTTTCTGAAGATATTGCTAAAGAAAGCGACACGATAATTCCCAAGCATGTGCCAATCTGAGAAAAGGTCCCAAAGAAACCCCTATATTTTGTTGGAGCAACCTATAGAACAATGAAATAGCTGATAATGACACCAGGGGAAAAGCTACGAAACTTGATCTCCACAAGGTAAATTTTCTTGGAGTAAACACAGATTTTGTTTCTTATGGTGAACCAATGGCCTATGTTTTCAGTGAGTATTATTTATTTCATCCAAAATGCTGCCTTATCTTACAGTTGAAAAATATTGCTTTGGCCATGGCCAGATAAGCCTAAACAGATGAAATTGTAGAAGCCATGTTATAACATCGGCTTAGAGATTACTGTTACCTCTGAAACATAAATAGGAACAAGAACCGTGTTCACTCCAATACCAAGGCCCACTAAGAATCTTCCATACAGTATTTCATCCAAGGAATGTGCTTGAGCACTGCCATAAAACTCAACCATCAGATTAGCTAAACAAGAATATATATATTTATATATAAATATACACACACACACATTTATATAATCTATTTCCTCCTTTAACCATCAATTATGCAAATTGACAAACAATCGCAAAAACTATGATGGACAGTGACCTTATAATTGACCCAAGAATAAGTGGAATAGTGTCAATCTGAAATGTACGGCGGCAACCAAGTTTATCAACAAGAAAACCACAGCTCATGCTTCCAATGAATGCTCCACCTATAAATATGCTAACAACGAGCCCCTCAAGAAATGAATTCCCTTCAAAACCAAGCTCTTTGGCGATAGAAACAATAGGTCCATTCATTACCCTGCACCAAAACAGTATGGAAATATTTAAATGCTGGTGGTATAACTGTGAAAGTTATACACATAATATATTGACAAACAAATATACACTCAGCAAGTCAAGATCACAATCTTTTCATGATTAGGACTCCTCTATACCCCAACTAGAACATACAAATGTTTCAACCTTCTTATAATTCTTCGACTTCCAAGGTTCTCATTGAGGATTCACATATATCTTATGCAATGAATATGTTGAAAAAGTATGCAGTTTCATAGAGAAAGACACAAAAACATTATATTAACAAAATATTCTATAAAATCTGAATAATATCTTCGTTGTTTTACAGATATATGCATAATTATAACTAAAGTCATCTCAAATAAAGTGCCTAATCGACCTTTCTTCTGAACACTCACACCCACAAAGACTAATGTAATCTTACATTTGCAAAGCAGCAATAATGTCACAGTAGAACATCTCACTTCAATGGTTAAAAAACACAATTTTTTTTATTCGATTCCAATTAGATGCAAACCAGACTAAAACAGAAATTCAACATACATTGTGAGCCGAATCTGAGGCCCTTTCTTGTAGCATCATTCATGAATTCTATGTTGCTTCATTAACAAAAAAACAAAGAAAAAATGACTTAAGAAAACACACAGCTCACCCAATATGATAACCAAAAAGAAAATTGGACATGGATGCTATCAATACATGTGGAACTACGGGTAACCACCCAAAATCACCCCCTTCACGCTGATTCTCGTCATCTGCAGGATTTCAAAAGAGCAGGAAAAACATGAACAATCCCTGAAACTTCATACTACTCATCAAAAAACAGCCAAATCCGAAACACAGCGGTTTACCTACACAATCAATGCTCCGAGGCTCGAACTCAGGAGTCTGCTGCTGCTGCTGCTTCGAAGCAGCGATTTTGAAATTGTTGCGGGGAACTGCGCAAGTGACAGACGAAGGAAACGAGCACTTGGTTTTGCCCAAGTAAACGGTGGAGGATTGGAGTTGGAGGGAAACAAGTGGCTGCCATTTTGGCGTGAGCAGTAGCGAAGTGGCTTCCAGCATTTGGTATCCGATTGAAAAAAGTTCTTTCCACGGCGGCAGAAGGCGGATTTGAGTGATCGAGTCGCCGGAGGGGTTGCTCTCGTCTCGTCGTTATCCTTTCCGAGCTATGGCAGGAACAGGACAGCAAAGTACACCAAATACAGCACAAAGTACACAAAGTACAGCACAAAGTACTCTTTCCAATTTCTGCCATATCTATCCCAGGACCATTTCTCAACCTGATAAGTTATTTACTTTTAAAAGCAGGCAAATTCAGCATATTATATTGCATGTATCTATCGATTTTTTATACTCCCTCCATCCAAAAATAAAAAATAAAAAAATTGAATGACATTTGTATAATATATGGTAAGTTATAAAGATATTTGTAATATTAAATAGGTAGTACAGTTAGACATACTAAAATGAAAAAATGAATATTTTTTTTTATGAAACAGAGGGAGTATAAAAAATAAATTGAAATTTTAAATATAACATGATTTATACCTTAACATTATAAATTAATTACTATACAGTCCACCAAAGTTATATATATATATGGAATGTCATCAGAGCCGTTAAATAAATCGAATAGCTTGTGAGCCGAGCTTAAGCTCGAAAATTATATATTTTATAAACGAGGGTTCGGCTCACAAATAATTCAATTAAATTCGTTAATAATAATATATTTATAGTATTTATATATTAATATAATATATATAATTTTTATATCAAAATTTACATTTATTACTAAAATTTGAATATCTTATTATAAAGAATTATGAATAAAATTAAAATATATTTAATTTATATATTAAAAAATATATAAAATACGTATAAAATTCAAATCTAACTCGAATTCGAGCTCGAGTTTGAACTTTACGAGTCAAACTCAAACTTGAATTTGAACCTAATGAATCGAACTAGAACCACTATTTTGATTTGAATTTTTAACGAGTCGAACCGATCTGAACCTGTACCGTTAACAAATTCGAGTCGAGCTCGAACAATCAATATTCGAGCTCGTTCAGCTCATTTAATAGCTCTAATTGCGATGCATAATATAATATTTTATTAACTTATAATTTTATTTACTAACAATGAGTCTAGAGTCTAAATAGACCATCAAGATTCAATCTATATTAAATCTAATTATTCAAATATCAAGTTGAATATGAGTTAGATAATATATATTCTTTTAGTCTAATTGGATTTGGATTATATGCACCTTTTAAAAGTGGATTTTGGATTCAAATCGACTCGATTAATATTAATTATATTTTTTAAAAAATAATAATTATGATTAAAATAATTGTATTAAAAACATACTTTAAATTTGATTTATTTGTTTCATACGATTTTATTATAATATTTTTAATGAAATATTATATAAAATTTGATGTATATAGAATTTGGGCCCCGAATTCAATTTTAAGTTAAAAATTTTAAAATTTACAAAAGTATTTTGGATTTATTGAATCTTATCCGATATACTTCGGATTGGATTCGAGTATTTGTCGAATATTATTAAATTTGATCCAGATCTCATATCTAACTATGTACATACGGATTGGGTTTTGATTTCAATTCGATCCAACCATTGTCATTTTTACATTTATTATATTTATTTTTAAAAAATAATAATCATATTCGTTTTATTTACTCTATTATGTTTTATTATTTTTTTAATAAATTTCTTAGTAATACTTATTTTATTTTGTTACTTATTCTACTTTAATATTACAATTTTTTTTATTTATATATCCAACCAAATATATATATATATATATTTTTATGAAGAAAGTATCAATTTACATTATTTAAATACTATATAAAAATTGGCTAAGCTTAATTATTGTTTTATAGTACCAAATCTCTAGTCTTAATATATTTATATATATATAATATTATAAATTATATTCATAATTATATTTAATATCAACAATCACGATACACAACTTTTTGAATTTTCAATATGGAATTGAAAACGGCACATGAGTATAAAATACATCTAAAATGATATCGAACGGCTCATAACATACTCCTAGATCGAACGGTTAAAGTTTATTCTTAGTTCTGAAGTGAGCTTTTCGGCTCGGGCCTATATCCCGGCCAACAACACTCAATTGGATGCAAAATACATTGGTCATCTATAAACAAGTCATAGGTCAACACAACAATCCTCCACCTTTGGGACATGATTAACGGGACGTCTAGGGGGATTATCATAGTCAATCTGCACTTAACAAAAAAATGTTAGTAATATCCTTAAAAGCATAATGCAAAAACAACAAAATTGCATGAAGTAAAACTAACTAGTAGCATCAAAATTTAAAAGTTTTAAACATAATTCAAATTTTGAAACAAGCAGTGACTTTGTTCTCATATCACCGAAATTGAATTGTGAAGATTTTTTTTTATTTTTTAGTTTTATAAAATATTTTACAACTATATCTCGAATATAATAGAATATAACATTTATGTATTTAGTTCGATCATAAAAATAGAGTTTTTAATAATTGAATACTAGAGTGGCTATTGAAAAATACATGTACCTCACCTTTTATGTATTCAATTTCTGTAAGCAAACCTTCCAGCCATAAACTTCTTTAATGACCTTTGTCACAGCTATGTATTTTAATTCAGTTGTCGACAGTGCAACTATGTGTTGTTGCACGATCCAAAAAGAGTAAACACATAAAAGGTAGTTGATTTTCTATTATCCATATCATTGGCATAATTAGATTCCACATATCCTTTAAGAATCACATTTTCACTATAATGTTTATGCATTAATCCCAAGTTATTTGAATTACATAAGTAACCTAAAAGTCATTTTAATATAACTAGTGTTCCAGATTGGGATTGTTCATAAGTTCGGTCAAACAACTTACAACATCTATTATATCAGGTCTAATAGTATCATAAGATACATCACAAACTAATTTTATTTGAATATGGAACATTTGTCATATAGCACAATCAGAATCAGTTTTTGGGGATTGATTTCTAGACAAGCAGAAATGTGATGCAAATGTAAAAATTACAACTTTAGAATTAAGTATATTAAATCATATCAGCACTTTTTCATATAGGAAGGTTGTCCCAAAATAAAATTGTATGTTCTATTTCTTTTAATATGCATGTCCATTATTATTTTAGCATTACCTAAAAATTTTATATCAAAACGATCACTCAATCATTAATCAAATTGATCTATTATTTTAAGATTATGACTTATTAGCAACATGTCATCTACATAAATTAAAGTTTCATGTACTCATCAAATTTCAAATTTCATTGTTTAGGTGATTGTTTTAATTCATAAGAAAAAAGAAATTAATAAATAAATAAAATCAGATTTGTTTTTGTCTGTGAAGCTCTTGGGTTGTTTCATATACATATATTCATCTAAATCATTATAAAAATTGTTTTCACATCAATTTATTTAAGTTTTCAATCAAAATGAGTTACTGTTGGGAAGAATAGGTGGTGCACCAATATTCCTTTGAATACCTATTCAAGGACCAACTTCCGAAGTGCAGTTATATAACAGTTGTAACATCATCTTGTCAACGAAATAAATGTAGTCCCTAAAACAATAAAAGATAGGATATTTGGTAACCCGGTTCGGTTATAACCAACCTACATTTGGGGAATTCCAATCCAGAATGAGTACCCAAACTACAATGCTGATCACCTAGAAAAATCCCCTCAACAGGCATATGTTGTTACAAATGCGTACTGACAACTAACAAATAGCTAAGCTAATCAGAATTTGAATGTTCCCCTGGTTGGGACTCCGATTTCCTTTCGACCGACAAACTCTTCGGCGAGATAGCAGTGTATAACACTCACTCAATGCATGGAGAAGGGAAGGGTTAGGGTTGAGAGGATAAAATACATTTTCTCTCACTACACTCCACTCTCAAAACCCTCACACAACCAAACTTCTCACACGTCTTACAATGTAGCTGTCATGCAAGGCATGCAAGACAAATCAAATTAAAATCCTTTTGCACTAAAAATGTATTGTATCTATGCATAATCTTTGTTGTCAAGTTGACTAACCAAAAGCATTTTCTTTTGTCTTTTCTAAGTTTCCCAAACCGAGAAGAAAGAACCAGCCGATTGCAGACAGGTTGATGCAGCAACTGACAAGACACATTACCACAAATGGTAATATGAGAAAGGCAACAAGAAATGTGAACATGCAGGTACTCATATGTCAAAATAAGTTAGAGAATTCTTGTTCCAATAATTACTAAAACAAGTATCACACGAATAGTAAAAAAAAATTACAACCGGAGAGAAAATTTCATTATAATTTATGTCTTCTTTTTGTATAAAACATTTTGCTACTAGTCTTACTTTAAATCTAACATATTCTTCTCTATTTTTAACTTTAAACATCCATTTACAATCAATTACAAAATCATTCTCAAGTTTATGGACTAATTCTCATCTTCTATTCACTTAAAATGAATTCATTTCATCATGCATAGTTTGAAATCATTCACTTCCAAGAATATCAAATACACTAAAAACATAGCCATAATCGACTCTGCACAAATAGGATTCGGGTTATATATGATGCGGATTCGACTCCGACTATTCACCATGAAACATGGATTGAATGCGTCCCTCTACCATATTTGTACAAATAGAATAATAGTACATAATACATTTATACAAAATGGTAAAAATGTACTTTATAATTATCGACCATAGAAAGTAGAGGTTAATTTTTCGTCTAATCTAGCTAGAGGTCTATTATCTCTTTAGGTATTTTACTTACACTAGGTTCAGTATTAAAATCACACAAATTATACTCACTTGATCCAACATCAAATCTGTCAAAACATGGAAGAACAACAATATGACTTATTTGATCACTTTCAGACTAAAAATCAAATTCAACACTATATAATTTATAAAAACTATCTTAAGTTTTATTCTAATCCACCTTTTTAGGGTTTTTATCTAATTTATGACTTTAAATTTGACTGCTTTTATTTAAACAAGGTATATCTAGTTTATTAAAAATCACATCATGATTAATTACAACTTTAAAATCTTGATAATTTCTACCTACAATCTATAACCTTTTATACTTTAGGCATATTAAATATATATATATATATATATATTCAACTCTTTGTTCAAGTTTATTAGATTTAATAAATATAAATATAGCACACCAAAAACCTTTAGATTAGACAAATTAATTGACTTTTCTAGCCAAATAAATTAAGGGAA